CTCAAGGACTCCTCTCTGTGCCAATCACAACAGGCTTGGCCAGCTGACCAATCAGAGCAGAGTAGGCTTATGGAAGTGCGAGGTTTGCTCCGAACCTGTTTGGAACGAATCGTTTCTAAATCATTGGCAAATGACTCTAATATTAAATGTATATTCTGAGAAAATTACAATGTTTTCTGACCTTAGATGCATTTAAAACTGTTGTAGGGGACTCCAACACAATATTAGGACACTTTAAAATACCATATGACCTGCTGTTTAAGTGCTTTTCCTGACCTCTTTTATTATTATTTACTGTCTTGTTTAACTACAGTTCTGTCCTTGTTTTGTGTGTGAAAATTTGTGTGCTGCTGTCTTGACCAGGTCTCCCTGGAAGAAGAGATGATATCTCAATGGGATCTTCCTGGTTAAATAAAGGATAGATAGATAGATAGATAGATAGATAGATTTCTGCCTCACTTTGGTCATTTCCCATAATCCTTTGCCCAGTCTCATCAGCACTCATTGTTTGCATCTGTGTCTCATTAGCATGGTTAGCTCACCCTATATAAGCCCAGTTCTTACTGTCATTCTTTGCTAAGTATTGTATGTGTCATTACTACAATTCTAATCCTTGTATCCTGGTTCTCCCATATCTTGGTTCCTGGTCTTGTTATTCTGCCTGTTTTCTGGATTACTCTGTTAGCCTCAGCCCCTTTCTCTGTCGTTGTTTTAGATTGCCTGTTTGTGTATGACCTGTGCCTGCCTTTGGATTATGTTTGTGGATTATCCCTTCAATAAACTACTGCATTTGGATCCTCTACCTTCGTGTCTCAGTGCAGTTCATGACACCAATAATGTCAACTGACAAAATACATGTGCATGTAAACTTGCTCATCAAAATATGTGCTAAACTAAATAACTAAATTACTGACATGTAAAGAAATCACAATATTTTGACAATAGTTTTTTGTAACATTATTTCAGGAGATTAAGTTTTCACAATAAGTACAGTTAATATAAGATGGTTTCATTTATGATTAATTTAGCACATTCTGTCAACTAAAATTTTTGAATGACATATGTAAAATTAGATGCCATTTTAGAGTAAAACTGACTAAATGAAAATATTGACCATTTCTACCTCACTTTGGTCATTACAAAGGTAGAATAATGCAACAATTCATATATATATACACACACACACACACATAAGGAATAGTTTCAAATTCCATTTTAATTTCAGAAGTGTGTAAACTAAAAATAGACAGGGCTGCACATCATAATATATCAATTATAAACTGAAACATTGATCATGTCTTTTCAGAGGAGAAAATATAACAAGATGTGGGTTCGTTATGACTAAGACTCTTTTAAAACAGTTCTTGTATTATCAGTCCATATTTATTGAAATAAATTGATTGGGCATTGATTGAGGTAAAAATCCATATGAATCCAGGAAAAAAAAAAAAAGAAGTCATTAAAATGCTCTGAATACAACATGTTACAGTAGCAGTTTGTAAAAAAAAAAAAAAAAAAAAAAAAAAAAATCCC